CACCGACTTACGTGATCACCGATCCGGAAGGTGATTACTGTATTGTACAGAGTATTTTTAATATGACTTTCTTTCGGGAAGAAACCGTTCTAGTCAAAGGATTTTTGTGTTACCCCAATAAAAATACCTGCGCCAACTTGGACTGGAATCACAGCTAAAGTGGATTCGTGAAGGAATATTTTTGCGTGAGGAAAGCTTGAATCGTTTATGAGAAACGTCTTTCAAGAAGAAATAAGTTTTATTGCAAGACTTGACTTCAGTTATTGAAATGTCTACCAGGTGTCGCGCACCCGAATTTTTTAGCCTAAAATTTTCAGAAAAACGTATTCCTGAGTACGATGCACACCTCATTTTTAGAGAATAAAACTTGCTATAACGTATGTTGAAAATAAAATATATTAAAATTTAAAGTTTCACTTGAATTTTAGTCAAAATTAATATTATACTTTTCATATTTTGAATTTTGAAAATTTTCCGTTGATATTATCCTTTTTGGAATCGAGTGTGACAATTTGGATAAAAACGTACCCCCAAGTTCAAAGCGCAATTTTTATAGACTGAAAATTGCCGTATTTTGAAAATAAAATGTATCACCATTCCATTTTGCCTTACATTTTTGTCAAACTGAATGGTATTTTTTCGTTTTTTTTTCCTTTTTTAAATTTTCTGTTGAAATTTGTACGAATTCCTTTTTGGAATCGAGTATGACGCGCTGAAGCATTTAAAATTGTGAAAAATGTTCTTCCTGCTTATAATGCACACCCTCTTCTTTTCCTCTTGATTTGAAAAAAGGTGCGCGTGATTTTCTAGTAAATAGGTCACGTATGTATCAGTGAAAAACATCAGAAAGTCGGGAACGTTCGATAGTTGAAAAATGGTTTGCTTGTCTAACCGCGTTTTCAAGAAAGAAATGAAAACGCGTCAACTTTGTTTTTCAGGAAATACCGTTCCCCATGATGTATTTCCTCTTCCGCAACCGATCCTCGTTTTACCCGGTCGCAACAGCAACGCTGAATACCAAGTGCACTNGTTGGACAGTGCGACTGGTCACGTGAGCTCGATTGAAAGGAAGGATCAGCCGGGAATCAGCGCGTCAGTCCGACAGGAATTCATGTTTTACAACGGGATGCGAGGGTTTAATCAGAATTTTAGCGACAGAGCGTCTGGGGCTTATATTTTCAGGCCTGAAAGTCAAGCTCCGTTGACCATGCGAGATCAGTTGGATGTGTCTTTTGTTGCTGGTAAATTGATGCTCACTCCTCAGACAAATCTAAATTGCTGAGCAAGAAGCTGTACAAGTCAAACCAGCCATCCGTGTAAAGATGTAAAATTTACAGTTTATTTTCATGCCCTGATTTTTTGCGTAGGCCATAGGCATAATTTGATGAATGGCCAAAAAACAAAGATAAATTGAACGATTGAAGCATTCCGACCTAATCAAAGAAGCTACACTTTCTGCAGAGAAAATTTGATATCAAGAAAATACGCAAATGACGTGTTTCTTGGAAATTCTTTAGCTCCATTTCAGAATGTATGCCGTTTTTTCAAGTGAAGAGTACGTTGAAATTAATGTTTCATTGGGTATTTCCAGTTGTTATTACCAATTTCCCACGAAATTCCAGTCTAAAATGTATTAAAACCCAGTCTAGGCGATAGTATTTTTTTGTGATTTCAAGCCCTTAAAACCTCAATTGTTCAGCAAGAAGCTGTCGGAGTCGGGGCCATTTTTGTATATGTCCAAGTTATATCTTTAATCTTATTACTGTAGTATGAAAAATTGGGTGTGTTTGTATACTAGAGTTGTATAAATTGTGCCGATCTTTTCTACAACTCATCACGTCATTTGCCCCGCTAATTTTTAACAAATTTAATTTCTCTCCTTAGGTGACGTGTTGACAGAAATTAGAGCTTACACAGAAGACTGGGCCAGTCATGTGATCCGATTCAGATCTGACAGTGAGGTTCTGGAATCTGAGTGGATTGCTGGACCGATTCCGATTGAGTAAGTTTCAAATCGCGAGTTTTGCGACTGCATCTTTTTTTTTTCGAAAGGGGAACATGGAAACCAACCAAGTTTTGGTTAAATTTTCGAAAAATTTCTGCAATATAGTGGCGTACGAGCCATAGTCGAAATCAATTGAAAACATTTTAAGCAGCAGTGAATTGAAAATTCGAGATAGCTCAAGAGAAAATGGCGGTCATCAATTTTCCAGGATGACTTAAGAAAGAATACTGCATACAAAAAAGGGAATAACGGATTAAAACGAGCATTGCATACTTCTCTTGACACCATTCATTCTTTCTTTTTTTTAGGCGACGCTGGTTGAAGTTATTGCAATTACGGTTTCATGTTTGGCCATGTCCCGAATAACTCCATGCTAGAAACTTCTTTTTTTTATCCGTCAATATTCATTTCAGAGGGGCTGGTAATTTATTAGTTTGTGTTCTTCATTAGCGACGGAGTGGGGAAGGAGTTGATTTCTCGCTTTGTGACTGATATCCGCAACGGAGCCAAGTTCTACACCGACTCGAACGGGAAATTGACAGAACCCAGAACGCGAGACTACAGGCCAACGTTTGAATTGGGCGATGACACGGAAGCTGTTTCTCGGAATTATTATCCAGTTTTATCTAGAAGTTATATCCGAGATGAGGACCAATCTGATCCGAATTTGGCAAGACAATTGACCATTTTGACGGATCGAGCGCAAGGAGGAGGAAGCATCGTTGACGGGGCTCTTGAGTTGATGGTACGTCTCTACATTCATTTTTTTTTCCAGTTACACTTGAAGTATGTCTATTTTCCTTCGATTGAATTTACGAGTATACCGTATTTATTGTAGGTGGAAATTTGAAGAAAAGCGTGATGATGAAATCAAATTTTCGTAACAAAATTACACGTACTGTACAGTAAACTGATTCTAAATGCCTCGGAAATGGGAAAAGTTAGGCGGTGAAAATCAGGAGGAATTTATTTTTAATTTTTAAATTTTTGCATTCATGGAAAATTTTGAGAATTGTACGTTTTAGTGCATTATCAGTGATTATTACGCATAAGTCTAGAATATTTCAGTTGGGTGGAATGAGTTATCACTACAGTAACCATGAAATGGTGAAAACTTGTTTCTCTATAAAAAAGGTGGCTCCCACTAAAGAATTACAATGCGTGGATCGCTAATTTTTTCAAAGAAAATTAAAATACAGGGAGTTCCCGCAAAAAAAATTAACTCAAAAAAGCAGATGACGAACATTTTAAAAGGAAAAACATGATTCACAGCACGATGTTATTTCCCATAAGGCAATATTTTGGCCAAAACAGCGCACATTTTTAAAAGTTTTGAACTGAAACTTGAGTTTATTTGAATAAAAAGAGAAGTATAGTTCTTTTCTTTTGAGAAAATTTTGAATATCTTATTGTCTTTACAATGTGAGAAATTCAGAAAGTTGTATGAGCAAGATTTTTCAGTTACAGTATAGTACTTCAATGTCATGCTTAACAATATTAAATTACCAAAAATTCACAAAATATTTGATGTTTTATGGAGATTTTGGTGAGGGATTGGAATCTATTAAATTAATTAAAATAATGTTATTAGAGAAAACGCGTTTCACATATCGATGATAACTTGTTTAGATATGTTTTTGATCCCGCAAATGGCTGAATGTGTATTAATGCTGGAAAACTTTTCTTTATGTATGTATTTTTTAAGTTAAGATATCTTAAATTTCTTTACACTTGACTGAAATTTCAGGTCCACAGAAGGTTGCTGTACGACGACGCATTCGGCGTTGGCGAAGCTTTGAATGAATCTGCTTTTGGAACCGGACTCGTGGCGCGTGGATTGCATAAATTCATTCTAACGTCTGTCAGCAACGCGGCAAAGTTGTACAGAGCCGAGGAAGTGAAGGACATAATGCGTCCCTTGTACGCTTTTGCACCCACTTCTCTGAGTGCCAAAAAGTGGCTAACCGGATATGCAACTAAGGTGAAAAATAATTTCATAGGAGAAAAATAACTTTCCTGTAAGTCTTTTTCACGTTTCTGCTTTTTTTTGTGTGGTGTCATATAGGTGTCTGCGTTGAAAGCTCCTTTGCCAGAGAACGTGAATTTGATGACATTGGAGCCATGGAGGGATGGTAGATTGTTGATGAGGCTCGAGCACATGTTTGAACCTGGAGAAGATGCTGTGTTGTCAAATTCTGCGCCAATAGAGCTTCTGGTTAGTATATATAAAGCATTTTGCA